CAAAAGTTGAGCGCGATGCTAGACACATTGGCTCGCAGCTACGCCGCTCCTACTCGGGAGGGACGTTTCGCACGCGTCGAAGAGTGCGATGTCACACGACACAAGCTCAAAAGGCATTGCCGGCAAGATAGAAGATCAGCTCTGTCATACCCTCGCGCACCTGCCCTTTGGTATCCACCAGCCGCCCGGGACCACGAGTGCTTTTATTCACACCTCGAGCGCCTAAAATATGATGCATTTGATGTCTCTGACCAGCTGTGTGAGAATCTGCGACGGACGAGAGGGCTGCTGCAAGGCTAGCTTAGCGCTTTGGTCCTAGGCTGGTAACATTAATGCCGCGTGCCAAGGTATCAGAATGCTGTCTCGGGATGGTCTTGTTTTCCGATGTGTCTCAAAGCTGAGCGCGAGCGCGCTTCATGGGACGAAAATGCGCGTGAATGCCTCGACGGGGGCTCTGCAGGTTGGGCATGTGTGCGTTGGAGGTCCTCTTCGACGATATTCATCCGTATCAAACCCAGCAGCGGCGTCGTTTCCGATTCGAGTTGGAGGTCGGCTGCTCAGATCTTCGCGACACCCGTTACACAGGGCAACGCATCGGCAAGGAAGCAGTAGCACTGTGCGTGGTTCAGTGAGACAAATGACGCAGGCAGTCCTTGCGCTATCAGTCTCAACAGCTGGAGACGCACGCCTGCGTCGCTCAATGGTGCCTCGCAACGCTTTCTCGTCGGGCTGAGGAGCTAGATCAACAGACGTGCTGCCAGTAAGCTGGTTGAAACGTCGACGGGTGAGCACGCCAGCTCCCGTCGGCGAGGACATGTGTGCCATCAAGACGTTCTGAAAAGGCTGGAACGCGCTGTTGCCAGCGACGCTAGACGTGGCTCCCCGCGGTTCATTCTCGAAATTGTGTCTAGCAGCTTCCACGAGAGCCAGCGTGTCCTCTCGTTCGTCTTCCATCGCAGAAGAGAACCCTGCTGAGGCTGAGAATTCTGGACCAGGGCTTAGGATTCTTCGAATCCGCGCTGAGCGGAGGGCATCCATCGCCAGCTTCGAGGTGCCGCCACCTTCGGACTCTGACTCCGTCGTTTCGCCCCCATCATCGTCGTCCGAGTCCAGCTCCCAGTCCTCATCTTCGTCCTCGTCGTATCCAGCTCCAGCCCCCAAGGCTTCCCAAAGACGGTCAAGCGGTGTGGAGTTTAGAAGCACTTGTTCTGCGTGAGTCACCTCGCGAGACCGTGCAAGCTGCGGGGTTGGGGCGTGTCCGACGGCACGCAAGAGCTCGTCCGCATGCTGTCGCAGTTTCTGGACCTTGCAAAGCAGCTTGGCGAGCACTTGAGCGTTGCCACGAGCTTGATCCGTCTCGTGCTCCACCCTCTCAAACGCGCGAGCCAGGTCGTCCATCGCAGGCGCGCCGAGGATCTCTTCTACCCTTGCGAGCCTTTCGCGCAAGACGTTGAGTTCAGCAATTGCAGCTTTTGCTTTGCGTCGCTCCTCTTGCTTCTGCTGCCGACTTTCCTCTCCAGACGTCCCGTGCCAAAGCAATCTAATCTTGCGAGGCAGGTCGCGTGCATAGGGAGGTGTTGCGGGGAAGCTGAAGGGTAGCACGCCGGCGATCTTCGAAGACGCCAGACGCACCAGATTGATGATCAAGACGACGAAGGTGAGCAAGAAGTCCTTCGCTGCTGACCATCGAGCTCCACCTGCCAGCACGCCGGCTCCGCTGTGGGATTCTTCTCTTGCTACGCGAACGATTCTGATCTCGCGGTTCAGGCCTGTTCTACTGGACGAGTGCGCAGGGCCGACACTCGTCAAAGCTCCAGACTGCAGATCTTGCACTTGAGCTGCTCTGCTTCGAGGCGAACTGACGTGAGCCTGACCGTCAGAACCGATTTCGAGCCAAGTGCCCATCGGCGTCGATACCGAGGAAAGCTCTCGAGCCAGGCCAGACAGTCGGGTCGACTCTAGACAAGCTGTGCCAAGTTTGAATAGTGCCAAAGAGTAGTCGTCGTGCCTCCCCGGCAAATTGGCCTCTGTGAATAGCAAGCGGCGCATTTCGATCTGGCAAACGAGATGAATACAGCTGAGTAGCTTCTCGTTTCGTCTATCTCGCTGACATCACTCACCGACCCTTCTGTCGCTAGCATGGTGATTGCGTGCAGGAACGCTGTCAGCAGAATGATCGCCTGTGGAGATGCAAAGTCGGTCAGCGACGCCATGCGTGAAGGCCCCCCCC